TGTTTACTATGTACTGGGCACGGGTCTAAGCTCTTAAAATGTATGTCATCATTTGTTTAATTTTTCCCATACTTAGATCTATTTTGTGGTTTAGGAACTGTAAGTCACAGAGTTAGTAAGTGTGAGGCCAGGACTGAAATGCAAGCAGTCTCATTCCAGAGCTTGAGCTCTTAAGCACTGCCTCCTGAATTAAAGGAAATATGCATAGAGTGTTTAGCAAAGTCAGCATATGTTATCATCATACTGTGACTTTCAACATTGTTATTAATATTTTTTCTCCTCTCTTTCTCCCCTCTCCCCTCCCCTATTTTTCTTCTCTCTTGGCAGATGTTTTTCAGCAAGGTAAGTTCGCTGTTTCCTGCCTGCGTTTTCACTGGCTGTGTGCTCTTTGGGGAATATGGGTATGGTCTGTGTGCAGAGGGTTATAGGGCTTCTCATTCTCTATGGACACGTCATGTGGAACCTCAGGGACACCATGAGGACAGTGGCTTAAAGTGCCATCAGCCTCCCTGGGCCTCTGCTGTCCAACCTCTGCTTCTTTCTCTGAACCATGCTTTGGGGTAGGATGTAGACTGGACAGCTGGGCAGGGACACTTGAAGAGGGGCCTGTGGCTGGGCCCTGGAAGGAGGGAGGGATGCTGTGGGCGTGGTGAGGACTGAGATTCTGGAGGGGAGTCTGGGGGAAGGCCCCTGTCCGTTGGGGCTCCTGCATCTCTGGGTCAGCTGCTGCTCCCTGTACCAGAGCCAGTGGAGATTCCTTTGCCAAGCAAACATGCCACTGTCGTAGAGGTGTGGCAAGGCCATGGCTGGCTGGCCACCTCATGCCTTTCAACCTCACCAATTGGGTCTGTGACTGAGATAGTGTCACCCAGGTGAGGGTGTGCAGTGTCGTCTGTTTTACTGGGCAAGGTCATGTGCTCTGAGGAGCTGGAGGTGAAATCCTAACCCCACACTGGCCCATGTTTTAATCCCCACTTAGGATGCAGAGCCATTGTGCTCTGGGGTGCGGCAGGAGACTCATGGATCATGGCCTCCTCGAACCTTCTGGATATACGTCAAGGGGGAATTGCCTTTTTAATCACAGCTTGATACTACTGGGTAAAAGTAGCAGGGTATCACTGTTTGTAGTCAAGCTGGGAAATATGTTGGTAGCACACATCTGCTGTGTCTTTCTGGAATCTGAGGCTGGCTTCGAATAAAAGAGACTGGTTTAAAAATATACCCAGGCATTCCATAAATAGCTTCCAAATAATCTTACAGGCTTGGTATTTTCACAACTGTTATTTCACCCCAAACATGAAACGTGTGTTATGGAGAATATCTGCTTTCTCTGATAGACGTGCAGTTGTGGATAACAATGAGGGTGCTGTTGTATTGTCTTTTAAGAGTCTGGAGTCATAGACTTACTTTTATAAATAATTCATAAATCCCAACAAGCTGTAAGTAATAAGTTCCATTTGGCTAGAGACTAGAGATGAGCAGAATTGAAAAGGTGTCGTGACTGTGCGTGTAATGAAAGTGCTGCTGTCAGGGCCTGTGGCTGCAGTGAGTTTTCTTCCTTGACAAACTAGGGGGTCAGTGGGGCGCTCTGGGCGGATCATTTTTTTTCTGTGAACTAGAACGTAAGCAACCCCACGCCGGATTGCATTTTTCCTCTTGAAACACGGAACATTTGAGTTTGGAAAGGCTTTCTGGAACATGTGTGTTGAGGCTCCTGGAGAATGGGGAGAGGACAGGCCGGTGTCAGATCTGGCTTTTCTATACACAATGGTGAGCGTTCATGGTGGTTGTAATTGGCAGAAAAAAAAAATGGCTTACCAGACTGCCTCTGTCAAGTTTGCCTTCTTTTTTAATCAGTCATGCCATTCGATTGATGGGATTTGCCTGCCAGTAACAATGATATGCAGAGCAAAAGTTATAATCATCTACGAATCACCGGCTATGGAGACTTTATAACAACTGCCAGAGATGGAAGCTGCTAGCTACCCATGGCTCTGTGTGTCGTGTCGGTGGGCAGCAGCTCCCTTATAAGGTATTACTCGGATTTCAAAGGGAAGGAACTGAACTTGCTTTTGTGAATTATTTACACGGCTGGGGCCGTATTGGACCATTTCATATGGAGACGTTCTCTAAAATAATGGCAAAGAGCTCGCCTGCTGGTACCCCCTTCTTACCTTTGTTTCTGGCCATCCTGTTTATGAAAATATTGCTCCGTAAAATGTTCAGCCGGTGACAGTCACATCAGCTCTGTGTCTTACAGGTGGAATCTAAAACCGTGATCTCCACAAGGTCTTCTGTGGTTGAAACTCAGGGCCAGAATTGTACCATTAAGTTGAAATATGGGGATAATGAATTGTGCTAGAAATCCACAAGCAGAAAACGACTTAGCTTCAAATGAACAGATGCCACTGCGTTGTCTGAGGCCCATGCACACAATAGCAACATTGAGTGGCCCTGCCTTCCTGGACACGCCATGGGCATCCAGGCCCTGCTTGCTTTGACGTGGCCAAGGAGTCACGGGCAGTTGGGGGAAACACTGCTTGATAAATGTGTGCTTCTGGCGGTGAGGGAGGGAGGACTCTGCCCAGTGGAGTCCCTGCTTATTTGGGGTGCTGTGCACTGTGGCAGGCAGAAGAGGGAAGCAGGCTTGCAGCTGACAACATCAGACGTTCTCAGAGGAAACAGAAGTTATTTCCTCTGGATTGCATTATCTTATATTTCACTACAGATCAATCTTGTTATAGTAGGTGACAGCACAGCAGTTACTGCTGGGTTTTGCTCTGCTGTATCTGTGGCATGTGCACATGAGAGTATGCTTCTACCCTGCTCTCATGCCATTTTATAGCTTTTTCTATTCTTTCATCTGTAAATGCCACTTGCTGTGACGTTGAGACCACAGAGTCTGAGGACAGTCAAGGACCAGCAGGCCTGCAGCTGGGCCTTTCTACATACGAATTCAGGGGCCACGGGGCCATGTTTTCAAGGAGCCTTAATTGACCTACATTCCCTGTTGTCCACAGAGACCTTAGGTGGCTCTCAGGAATTCCAAAGTGCCATAGAATTGCTCTTCACAACTTCAAATGCAATTGAAAATTCTGTATGTGCATGCGTGTCTAGAGTCTTGAGTTTTAGAGCACTTTAATGCCAATCGTTTACTAATGATGAAGTCAGGACCACACAGACACACATGCACGCCTCATTTGAAGTTACTGAAGCACCTTTTGAATGCTCATCCGTTGCCTCAACCTTGATTCTGAAATCGAACAGAAACTGAGCAAGCCGCTTGGAAATCACAGCAGTACCACTCAGCAGAGCATTTTAAAGCGTAAGTGGGCGTAGTATAAAGATTTCACCATTTAGTTAATCCTCCCTGCACTGGCAGCTGAAGTCCCTTAAAGACTCTGAGCCCAGGGAGGCATAACCTTTCCTCCTCCCCTGTTCTCGTCTGGAGCCAGGATCTTGTTAATGGAGAGATTTTTCTTCCGGCTCCAGTAATTTGCGATACCCCTCAAACACAGGGCATGACGTGTTTATTCTGCAGCTGGTACATATGTGCAGGGCACTTTCTGGACCTTGAGAATAAGTGAATAAGACAGCACAGGGTCCTGTTTTCAGAAAACTTATAGTCTAGCTTGAGGGGCATTCTGTAGCCAAGTTTACAAATAAACGTGATAAATTCAAACAGGGATGAATGAAGAAAATATCTCAGGGTGATGTGCTAGTGGCTACCAGAGCCACTGCAGGAGGAGTGGCCAGAGAATGACAAGTAGGGCCAGTTATTGAAGTATCTTGGCGAAGGACAGAAGGATTTACAAGGTAGGAACACCCGATGTTCCAAGCTCAGAAGAAAGCCTGGGGTGTGTCTGAAGCTCACGAGTGAAGGAGAAAGTTGTGTGAAATGAACAAGGAGAACAGAGCAGGCATCTGGGGGTCTGAGAGAAAGGGAGTCAGAGATGAGTTTTAAGCAGGAGAATGGCATGATCTTATTCACAT